TTAGATACAGTCCCTGACAAATTGAGAGGCAGTTCTGCAGATGAGTTTGACATGGTTGAAATCTGAGCTCAACTTTATCTTGTTTGGCCTTGCTTAAGAGAAGAGTTCCTGTGAACTGTTTGAAATCCGAGGTCAGTCATTTGTGTGCCATATTCAGGGTCATTTGCGTAGCGCGTGGCAGGGCGGGGGGTCATTTGCGTAGGGTGCTGGGATCTGCGGTTTAGTATGCAGCGAGGCGAGGGAGGGAGGGCGTGCGACATCCACAGAGAGCCAGGACCCTCCCTGACCCCTGTCTATAATTCATCCCCTGGAATATGGGGCACATCAAACCTTTGGTTACTTCCCACCCAAAAAGAGGAGAGAGAACCTTTTCACTTTGTTGCACGGCACTCTGACCCCATATTAAAGCGAGCAGCGAGAGAAAACGCTGGAAACGTTAGCTGTTAAATTTTTCAAGGCTGTCCCAGGAGAGCGTTTCCAGCGGGCCTTCCATTCATGGATGGGAAAAGACTGAGGAAAGGCCCCATGCTGACGGAAGAGGCGAGGAAAGAGAGAGACAGAGAGAGGTGGAGGAGGTGGGTGGGTATGAGTGAAAGGCAAAAACAAGTCCCACTCATACATACATGTGCAAACAAGAATGCAAACATGATTAAATCCTGCAACAACACAAAAATGAGGAGGGTGAAGTGCAAAACCTGTGTGTGTGTTTGTGTTTTGGCGGATAATATAAAGTTAGACGGGACCCTAGGGGAGACACCCCCCCCCTCTCTTTCTGTTTTCTCTGTGTCTCTCCCTGCTTGCTAGTTGCAGGTATTCAGCTCCAAATCCAGAAGTTTCATTAGAAATGCAGATAAAAGAGTGTGTACGTGTGTTAGTGAGAGTGTATGCGAGCGTGAGCACAAAAGAGGGGATGTCAAAAAGAACTTACCAGATGTTCTAATCTTCCTTTGATGCTCCCGGCGTCCCTGCAACACAACAACACATTTCCCCCTCTGTAAATAAAGTGCCGACACCAAACCTCATTTAATAAAAGGAGCACTTTAGCAGGAGCACAGGCACTGACACACACACAGAGGGAAACCTGATAACAACTACTTTCTGTATATTGAAAGTCATGTAACCAGTGGTCAGAAAATTAGAACTATCTACATAACGACTTTAATAACTGTCACAGATTCGATTTTTAAGGAAGAAATAACAACAAAGAGACTCACATTTTTAAAATTCGTACACACTCAATGATGACCTGGATAGACTAGTTGATAAATCATAACCCCCCTGTCATTATCAGAGAGAATAAAAATGACTGACTGACAATGAAAAGGTTTTTAGACAATGAAAATATGAAAAAGAATTATTCCAATTGTAACCTTTCCCTCTGTGTTTGTGTTTATCTGTGTATCAGCGTCAACAACACACAGAGGTTAACCAAAACCGTCGCTTCGCTGCTGGAAGCCATAATCGTAATAATTTCCAACTACAGAGGAAGAACTCGGAGCTTATTATCTGTGAATTAATAACAAAATGTGTGTGTGATTATCAGGGCGGTGGCAGCAGAATGGCAAGTGAGGGAGTGGGAGAAAAAGAAGGAGGGGGTGTTTCGGTTTTTAAAAGAGCAAATTGGCAGTAAATAATAGATGTAATTTTGGCACGTTTCAAATTTGCAGCAGTAGAAATCAACAGATCAAGAGAACACAAACAGGCCCTACCCCCGATACCAGCACCCCCCCCACCACCACCTCCCAATCCAACTCTGGCCCCCATTACTGTGGTGTATCACTCTGTGTGTCTGTGTGTGCGTGTGTGTGTGTGTGCTGAGAGGGAGAAAAGCTTATCGACAGGCTTCAGTTGCTAATGCAGCCAGCAGCATCACAGTGTAAATCTACACCATCTCTAAAATTACATACTGTCTAATCCATCTCAGCCTCCAGCCCACTCTCCATCTATCCATCCATCCATCCATCCTTCCAGGACCCGTACCCCTGTGTGAACCCGGGACAAAGTGAAACCAACAGAATCACCTTAACGTCTCAAAGACATACACATCATGGTGTTAATGAAAAGAGTCACTTCCTGGTGAGCAGCAGACTTGAGTCCTTAGAAATTAACCCAAAATAAAAACTGTGCTTCCTCAAGTGTCCACTAGAGGCCAGCTCAAAAGTGCAGGAAGCCACATAAACACCCATTCAAAAAAATATGCTGATAGCAAAAATAAGCATGTTAAGAACCTGGTACAATAATGGTACACAACATACAGAGGTCAAGTTTATAAAGGTTTGAGGAGATTTGAGTTATAAGTTTTGTACAATTAGAGGCACAGCTGACATGATTGAAAGGAATCAAGACTTTCGATGGTCCACTTAAAGGGATATTCTGGTGTAAAATTAATTTAGGGTCAAACTAATTTCTTTAGCAAAGAGACTAAACACAACTCACCCACTCCCTTCCAGCGGCCACTTGTTTGTAGGAACACTTATTCAAGGAAGAACATTTATGGTCATGACTTTATTCTTTCCTTGAAGTAATAATCACCATATTAATCATTTTACACTGCAGATGCTGTAGTTCTTCTGCCTTAGTGTCTCGGTCTGATTGCATTTCCATGAAGAAATTATCATAAATGTTCTTCCTTGAGCTGCGTCACCCCGCTGTAGTCCATAATGGACTGGCCTGAGGTCTCGCTACAAACAAGCCGCTGCTGGAAGAGAGTGGGTGAGTTGTGTTTAGTCTCTTTGCTAAATAAATCAGGCAAAGCTAAAAAGGTTTTTGGTGGCTAGTACTGTAGCTAGGACCCTTTATGTACTGGTGATGAAGTTAGGTGCTATTCTGAGCATTATTTGTGGCTATAGAGTGGTATTTTGGTTGAGGTTTGTGTGTGGCTCCTGAGATCGCTGTGTATTGCTATCATGCGGTTGTTACTAAAGTTGGTATAACTAGAGAAGCAAGCGGTCGGCAACATTAATCTCTTGAGGGGTGTCTAACTTGGTGTTATGGTGTGTTTGACCCTAAATTTATTTTACACCAGAATATCCCTTTAAAGTTTTGTTAAGTCAGCATTTTGAACATGGCATCCACTGCTGACGGGTTTCAAAGCTCTCTAGTTGTGATGCTAACATCATATTTTTTATGCCCTGTATTACCTCCTGGGACATGCCCACCTCTGAATGAATTTAACCTACAGGGTACAAGATAACAAATAAACCAAATTATTTATTCTTAACACAAAATTCATAGATTTATATTGTTTAAGCCATCCCACCGTCACTCCCACTCTCCCTCTGTCCCTCCCCTCCATCCGTCTCTATCTCTTCTGGGTTTATGACATCATTAGCAATCCCCCACATCATTAACATGTCCGTATGAAGGAGGAACCAAAGTGAGAAACAACTGGAAAAGAAAAAGAAAAAAAAAAAGGATGTTTGCTTGTTTATTTGGTGCGCTGTCAGTGAGCCACATGCAGACAACTCAACCACTTAAGGCAAACTTCATCTAGCTGTAATTACATTACATTCTGACAAACACCCCGCCACATTCATTATACATGACGGCCGCTCGGCAGCCAGACAGCAAGACATTTGTTACCGTGGTGACAGTGTGTGTAATCCACTAATGAAGCACAATTAGTGAGAAACAATCTAACACAGGGGAGCCGCAGCGCTCGATCCCTCCGCCTCCACTCATTTTCCCCTTGCTTTTTTCTCCCCCTTTTTCCTCCCCCACTCTCTTTTTATGATCCCGTCTCTTTCTCTCCATCTTTTATTTTAGCGGTCCAACATTCATAAAGCTCTTCAGATGCATTTAATCTGCCGCTCTGTCATCTGTTGTCTTGACTCCACCAAGGGCAAGCTGTCCAGCAGCACTGTCCACACCAGGGCCGGAGGGATCGCTCTATCCATTAGAGGCGCACAGCCCGACACACACACACACACACACACACACGCACACACACATTTTACATCCTCATCTCTCTTCAAAACATCATATAATCTGCTGAGGTCTTCAGGGACAGAGCTTTCCTTTTCTCCTCATCTCTGCCTCTCTCTCTCTCCCTCCCTCCGCTCTCTGTGCCTTCAACGCATTGATTTCTGAATTACGCCACAATATTAAATAATTAATATACTTGCCATGATTGATGTTTTGCATTAGGCCAATATTAGGTTATCAATCAAAATCCACTTGGTTTAATGTAATAATATTGAAAATGTGTCAGTGCCTGTTCATCCAATTTGTAGTGGAGGCAAGCCAGATAGTAATGGTGGTGTAGCACAAGGCCTCAGAGACACTGTGGCCTGCTTACTACAACCATAGGAGCACATTACAGCCCTGGCACACAGCAAGGGAGGAGGGGGACTAATGTAGGGGGAGATAAAGTGAAGACAGGGACAGTCATTCTGGATATGCTATGACAGGTTACACAGGCTGAGGAAACGTTGAAGTCAAGTCGCTTATTTGGGTGAAAACTGGCCACTAAACAAATCTTACTGCTGGCTCTAAAATATATGAATATGAATTTATTTCAAATCATTTCAAATAAATAGAGCAAAGCTAATATTCCTCTAAGGGAGAAGCAGGCTGGTGGCTCGTTTATTGTTTTCAATTATTCAAACCTATTCGAACCAAATGCAGCTCAGCACTCAGCGCTGAAGGCCCCCCAGTGCAAAAGCGCCCTCAGCATCAGTCATTTTTCACTGGACTAATATTTGGAAAATAGTGCAACTTTTAAACGCCGCTGTATAGGGCTGCATGATATATTGTTTGAGCATTGTCATTGCGATGTACGTGTGCACAATAGTCACACTGCAGAGCCTGCAATGTAGGAGGCGAAAGAACTCATCTAATTTCAAGAGTAGCTGACTGAGATTCACTGCATGTTACTCTGCATGTGCTTTGCAGCTATCCACCAATCACATTTGTTTGTTACTCAGTTGCCAATCAGACTACCCTGCCAGCCGTCAATCAAAATCAGAGAGGAGGAAACCACGCCTCTGCACATGGAGTGAGTCGCTGGCGCTGCTGATGTTGTGCCGAGAAATGCATGTCAGCTGAGAATTACTTTTGGAACGTTACTCATCACTGTTTAGCCCCAGAAATAAGAATTGTATGGGTTTTAAATTGTACATTTCTGTGGACCACTCTACTATAAACGGTGCGCGTTTCCGCGAGGTGCATGCAATTCTCGGAGGACATGCGTTTCTCGGCACAACACCAGTAACAACAGCGATTGTAAAATGAGCAACGAACAAGAGAAAACCTCAGAAAATTAAGACTTCGTGCCAAAAAGAAAAGAAAAGTAAATTATCCGAAATTATTTCGGTTACAAGAAAGATGATGTCAACCAAACACCTGTTCTGTGTCGGCAGTGCCTTTCAACTGTTGCCACAATAACGTCCCAGCACAACTTCGGCAGTGCAGCATCACATAAAATGCTATTCAGGTCATCTGGTGAAAATATATCGCAGGGTTGAATAAAATTGCAATTGTTGTTTGCATTATTACATTATTGTCAGAACACCGCAGATAGGAACTTGGATATAGTTTCAGAAAAGTGTGTTATGTCTGCTTTTGCTCTCCACACTGACTGGTCCAAAATACTTGGGTGACGACTGTACTACAAACAGAAAGCAGAACAATCCCCAATGAAAAACTTAAATCCAAGTAAGAATTCAAGTTTTTTTTTGCAAAAGGAAGAATCTATTGGACGGCAAACAATGGTAACATAAGGAAAATTCCTCACGTCTGAGATTCTTCAACTGTAACTTCTCCACATCTCTTTCGCTTTCAAGATAGCTACAAGCCGCACACAGAGAGAGAGAGAGTAGAGACAGAGATAGAGAGAGAGAGAGATGGACTGTTGTTCCAGGAAATGGTAATTAGTTATCTGAGGTCAATTAAGTAAAACTGGACAAACAAGTGTGAGTGTTAAACTGAGCTCCAGCAAGGTCAATACTGACCGATTAAGCATGGTCACTGGATCCATCATGATGCTTACTCATCCCGGCTCTTTCATCTCACTTGTCTTTTATCCGCTCTAACTGCACACTTTCCCCTCTCATCGTCTCAAACTTGCATTTCTCTGAGCCTCTATCACTCACGGCACATTTTCTTTTTCACCGCGTCCAAATGTTTCTCTTTCTCTCAAACTATAACGAGGATCTTTAGGCTGCTTCCTCCTCTTACCTCGTCTCCTTTTCACTCGTTGTCGTATCGCCCACCTGCCTGTCCTCCTCTACTCTCCCTCCCTCACCCAACCCCTCTCTTCTTCACCCTCCCAAACCCCTGCACTCTTCCTAGCAGACAATTAATTACAGGGCCCGCACCAGATGAGTTGTCATTTGCGGTCAAGTTTCTAATAATTGCATTACGCTCTTCTGTTTTTTTCCCCCCTCAGATGCTATCCCATCTCTTTTCTTTCTATTCCTCTCTTTACTTGAATCCCCCTCTCACTTCTCATCTCCCCCCATGCATTGACACAGCAGAGATAAATATCTTTAGTCAGTCAATGGAGGCGACAGAGGGACTTAAAATGCAGAGGCAGTCATTTGATTTCCAGCTAACAGAGCTGCCCATTAGCCCGGCACTCATCAGCCATGCATTACCTTTCTAGCCTGCTGTCCTGAGTGAGGAAGGTTTAACCCTTTCACTGGTACTATTGGCCAGGTCTAACTTGAAATAACAGACATACTTTCACTGCCAGGACCAATCTTTTAACCCTTTAATCCTCTCTGCCTTTGCTTTTTCCTCCTTTTGGTCATAAAATAAATCAAATAATAAATCAAAACTTCACATTTTGCATTTTGTTTTTTTTTACAACTATCAAAAGCTTTAAAAACTATCACACCAATAGAGGAACTACTAGGATTTTTTTTCTTTGCAGCATGCCTGTTTTTATCTTGGTATACTAAAGCTGCTGAAACACATTTTTGGCCCACAGCAGCCTCCCAGCTCTCAACCTGATGGCAGTCGGAGATAAAGAGGAGGAAAAGAGGAGCAGCAAAGAGAAGACAGGACACTGTAGTGCTGTGAAAGAGACATCATTCATAAGTGCGTGGTTATGTGTGTGTGTGTGGTTGTGTGTGTGTGAACGCCCCATTTGCCACAGTTGCATGCCTTGTCAAGCGTGTCATTGAGCATTCATAAGTTGTTTGACTGCTGATAGAATGGCAGGCATATTTATTAAAGAGTCAATGTGATGGGGACACTGAAGCAAGCATACTCGCACTCACGCTGACGCACACACACGTGCACGCGCACACGCTCACACAACAACACAGAATGCAACAATACACAGTCCACATCAGTGACATCTGCCTGTTTAACTAATAGAAGGGAAAAGCCGCACGCACGCACACACACATACACACACACATACACACACACACACACTCACACACACACACTTGTACAATAATACAGGGAGCTGAGCTTTCCCCCAGGCCTGATTGCCATCTCCATAGCTCCCTTTTAACAGAGCTGCCAATTGAAATTGAAATTGTATTCTTATGTGTGTACTATCAGAGCTACCTCTCAGGGTTTTATACAGCAAAGAGGAGGCTGCAGGGAAACACACACACACACGCGCACACACACACACACAGAAAGGGAAGGGATAAAGCAGGGGTAAGTCATGGGCTGTCACTCTTTCATGCAGAACACACAAGAGGGAACAAAACACAGACTTAGGCCTCTATGCTTTCTGTGTAATTCAGTGCACGCACACACACACACACACACACATATGTATATGCACACACTATTGAAGGTGCTCTACTTTAGCATAATCCCAAAATTGTAGAGAAAGGCAGTCCATTAAAACTCAGGCTAACAAATTCAGCACTAAATATCTCCCTGCAGGAGGGTTAAGTACAGTCAATAAAAAAGTCAGAGAAGAAAGAATAACAAAGAGAAGTTCATCTGCAGTGAGATACTCTGCTTACAAATACACAAACACGAGCACACATGCTGTTGATACCTATATTAGAGACCTGCTCAGGCATAACACATACGGAAAAGCAAAGCTGGAACAACTGTTAACTGTTAAGCTACAACATTTTTGGTGAGTTTATGTAAGCAGCTCTTTATCCTACACAAGTTCCTCTTTTTATGCCACCAGAAGCTTTGACAAAGCTTACTGAGAACCTGTTTTGATAGTTTTTGCTTGTGTGTGGTGAAATTATTAAATGTTTAAAAGGAGAAAAGGCAAATAAGAGTGGTTTAGGACATGAGTGTTATCAGTAAAATGTTTTTTTTTTGTGCTGGTCTTTAAGTCAAGAGCATGACCAATGAATCTGGGGTGTTAATTCATCCACTAACATTAGCTTATCTGAGAAGAAGTAATACTGTTTATGCTCTCACTGACAAGCTTTCCAGTATTATTCACATTATTCTGGATATACAGTCCTATTCAAAAACAGTCACAGATAAAGACTTGATAAAAAATGTATTTTTACACCAAATGTTTCCGTATTCCCTCTTAAAGGTGGCGATACGTTATGTTTGACTGAGCTCAGAAAGAAAACAAAGACACCTGTGGAGCATCATCAAGAAACATGGGGGCTACTACCTTGGCAGAGGGGCCGAGCAGCAAAGTTTAGCATCCTCTAAAGAAAGGAGGATATCAGGTGCACCAAGAATGACCAAGGATCAAACTTGATGTTTAACATGTACCTTATGAAACACTGAGCTGCACCGTTTAACCTCCTTTAACTCGGAAGGTGTCAAACACTATACTTTCAGTATGATCAGTAACTCGTAACAGTATTTATTAAACTGAAATTGTTGTCAATGCAGACATTTGTTTACTTTAAAAGAAAAAGTTGACAATAAATATCCTTCATCTGTTAGTAATATTGTGTAATAAATAACTATGTAATGATTGTAAAATCACAGCGATCACTGAGACTACAATCATAGCATCAAGATCTCTCTCTTAGGGGTTTAAAAATTCTGTACCAGGTCCTTAATAGAGCTGGGATTCAACCCCCAGACCAACAGCATCATTAATTTGTTTTCAGTCATAGTTTGATCATTGCATGATAAAAACCTGTGCCCATTAAGACAGATGTAAACAGATGGGGCCCTGTGCCTGTGCTGTGGACCAGGCGCGTCTGCATTCAATTTTGCTATCAAAGAAATACTTCGACCATCAGCAGATCATGGCTAAAAACACAGACCTCTAACTTGTTTGGGGTAAATAGACAGATCCGTTCACACGTGTATTTAAACACAAACATCCGGAGTGTGAGGGCTTCACTCTCCCTTTTTTTTAAGCTGATACACACGAGCTTAGTGCTGAAGGGAATTGAATGTTGAGGCCAAGTTTTAGAGGAAATTGACTTCTTTTTAGTGTGTTACATAGAGGGAGAGCAGGACAAAGACAGGGAGAGAAAAAGCAAAAGGGAGACATGGAGAGCAATCAATTTCCCTGTTGTTTCCTCAATAGCTGGCAGTCCTTTTCATACCTCCCAATTAGACCCTGTCCTAATCAGAGGAATACCTCTCCATTATTGAAACGAGACAATAACGCTCTCCAACATTTCCGCCTGATCCAAAACTCTGTAGATTGCAGCACTGGTACACAAAGAAAAAAGCACCAGACTATACGGCGAGAAGGACGCTTGTGTTAAAATCACATGTGGAAATCTTTTGGCTCTCCCCGCGTCCCTTGAAAAACTGATGGGGAACAATGGCAGCCCGGCACAGCATCTGTCATGGCACAATATAAAAAGATGATCTTGGCACAGAGTGGACAAAAAAAAAAAAGACGGGAGGATTGAAGGGGAGGGGGAATGGGAGGGCCAAGCGAGGGGGTAATTCATTTGCAAATCAGGCCCTGGCGCTCAGGTCTATTTCAAGCTGCCAGTGGGTGCCAGGAGTTAACAAGGTAATCAGTTTCAATCCTGCCCTTCAATTGTACATCACACCCTCATCCTGAGAATACCCGGCCCTTTCTATAGGGGCAGAGGGGGGAAATAGCAATCTGGCTGCTGGCTCGCTGCACACACAATACACACACACACACTACCCCACACACCTGAGGACAAGTGTGTACACAAATACAGGCACACACGCATTTGAACGCACAAATTTACAGAGGCGGTTTATTGATGACATGAATCTGCAACATGTCCTTATGAGCGACTATACCCAGAGGAAAAGTGGAGCGATTAGATCATTCATCAAATCAATCAATCAATCAATCAGAGGAGTTTGATCATTGTTTGGG